AGTCCCCAACCACCTGGTTTTTGAGCTGGGAAAAGGGGTGGGTCGGGTAGAGGAGAGAGAGACAGTTCTTTTAGGACTAGAATCGTCGAATTTGGTCACCGGATGGTGACGAGCTAGCAACTCAAGGTGGCAGCATCGCGGGAAAAAGTGAGAGAGAAGAGAGAGAGTTTGGGGGGGGTGTTCTAATGCATGCGAGGGAGAGAGAGGAAGGCTGGGTATTTAGGGTTTCCTAGCAATTTTCAAAATTACCTTTATGTCCTTTTGATTTTCAGACCTTTTCGTGCTCGTTACAACTCGGAATTGTGTGTGCCGCCGGTCTACGAACTCGTATTGGCAAGCCCTACGCAAAAGTGTCACTCAATTCCCCAAAATCCCTCCGGAACAAAAAGTGACTAAAGTGCCCCTACCCCGAAGGGCAAAATTGTAATTTTCACAATTAGACAATTAAATAAAATAATTAAATTGGATCGGGGTGTTACATGAAGATATTTCGTGAAGGTACGACAACCAAGGTCAAACAGCATCGAAAATTGAAGTAGAAGCGGCGGTGCTACTGTTCACCATGGAGAGAAAGAAAAGAAGTCGCGTGTGAGGAGGGAGGTGTTTAAAAAAAAAAAAACCTTATCTAATACTTAAATTGGGACATTGCAAAATTTACGGTTGTGTCATTGCACTTCCATAGATCATAACTTCTTCATTTCAACTGCTATTTGTCATTGTACCATTTTTTCTATATTGATCCCTCTGTGACAAATTGATTAGAGATCAATCAGTCCTCTTTGTAAATCAATTTATTTGATTTTTGATTTAGGTGTTGATTGGTTTTCTTCCTTGTTTTGAAAACCACTATAAAAAGGAAACCTATGTGTTAAGCTCATAATTTCATACATATACATGCCCTATTTACGTACTCCTTTTGCTTGGTTTCTTAGAATTCTGCATCATTTACCTCTCTTTGTGTGTTTTTTAGGTCAATAGAGCAAGAGAGAATAATTCATGCAATTCAAGCATGTTAAGACCTGATTTGGATGAATGAAAGAAGAGCTTAAAAATAAACCCAATTTGGGCTACACTCCTTTGTTAGTCCGATTTCGTAGGTCACATTGCAGGCCTTATTTCAACAAACTACACAGCTCAGATAAGGCAACATCCTTCGTGGAATTTGTTCCAATAGGTGTCTATAACATATCCAAAATGTAGCCCCATTGGATAAACCTGGAGTCCGTCACCCGTCAAACACGTAACCATGCTGAGGATGAATTTTGTCTGCGCTGCCAAATGAGTTAGCAATTTGTTTCGGCCTTAACTTCTTCCTCCGACCTTGGATTGGCCCAAATGACATGTGGTTGGAAAGATGACATTCTGAACTTTAAGATGGAGGGCTCAAAGTCGTCATTTGTTTAAGGGAAGCCCAATTCGTGAGCCCTTGAAGTTGCTGGTCATGCTGACCTAAGGAGGAGCTAAGTGTTCTTGGTCATTCTGACCTAAGCATGAGGTGTTATTGATCGTGGGGAAGTTAGGTGAAGTAGATTCATTACTTATAATTGGAGTGGAGTTTTCAGCAACCAAAGGAAATAAAAGAAGATGAAGTGGGAGCTGCAGCACTAAGCCTAAGGAGAAGAGGAATTGTTTTCAAATGCAATTGTGTGTTAGGTGAAGTGGGTGTGGTTAGTGAACTCAATTATATAATATGATTCACCTAACCCCTGTGCCTATAAATAGAGAGTCTCCAAAGAGCTAAGGGGCAGAAATTCATATCCATCATTTACACTTACATTGTACACAAAGAGAGGGAGAGTTGAGAGTCACTAGTTTTAATAAACATCTTGTTGGTCTTGTATTATGGTTTGAGTTTATAAAGTTTGATTTCATTCATGAATTCTTCTTCACTGTTTTAATGAAGTTGTTTTGCATCCTTTGATTTATCACCTAAGGTTTTATGCATTATGCTCTGGTTGGGAAGGTTTGGGAACCATCTTCATTCCTTCCATTAGCAACTCATGAACTGCATATAAATGGTTCATGTGATTTGGTTTCTAGGACTCATACTGTAAACACCATGCTCTAGGGTTCTTGTGATGTTCAATGCAATCTGATCCAAAGACCATGGACTTATTTGCGAGCATCGTCATGAGTGAATCAATTTGTTTACTTGCTGCCATAACATGATTAGAACAATTAGGGTGGATTTTGAAACCTCACCATCTTGTCTTAGTTATTTTCTTTCTTTCATATTTTATGTTCTTTTGGTTTCATTTTTGTTTTGTGTAGGGAAACTGAATTGGATCATTCAATCACCAATCCCTGTGGAATTGACCTCGCACTTACATATGCTAAACTACCAACGGCTCGTGCACTTGCGAGTTTCACAAGTTGAGGATGTAGCTGAATCCATTTTGGTGCAGCTGAATCGATGCAACACTATGCTTCATTCTTTTAACACAACTTTCAACATGAGTTTTCTGATCTCCAAATAACAAAAGAAAGTTGTTGTGCATTGCTTTGTTGAGGATAGATCATAAAGAGTAAGATTATCGTGATGATTTGTCATTCCATACATTGCATCCAATTGCATAAGTTACAAGTGTCTCATACCTCCGGTGAGTTTGAATCGATCGCGTCGAGTATCTGATTCAACATAAGGTGGGAAATAAGTAATCCCGCTAGAAGTCAAGTTACGAAGAAGTTGGTACATTATCTAGAGAGTCTGGGATAAGTTTGTATACTTCTTGTAATCTTTATTTCTACAGTGGATTTGCCTTGGACTATCAGGTCCCGTGTATTTTCCCCAGAGGTAGGGTTTTACCACGTAAAATAACTCCAGCATGTTCTTTATTTTTACGTTTTGTACATTCAAGGATTGATACCACTTATCAATCCTTTGGATGTATTTTTATTCCTTTGTTACACTGAAATGTACTATTCAACCCCATTCTAGTGTTTTAAGCTATCCTACAAGTAATTTCAGTGTATGTTTTGATAAACTTGTTGACTGGTGAGACCAGTAGTCAACACAAACCTTGACCATAGAGGGGATACAAGGTAAGTAGGACCAAATTGTGTAATTGAGTTTGAGATATGGAATAACACCATAAAAGATTGTAAGAGATGCTTCTATTGATATGAATAAGATGATACAAGTGGTTTGTTGAGTATACATGAGTAGAGAAATTCTAAGTGCAAGGAAGATTTGGTCTCCTTTTCTTCCAAGAGAGTCCTCTATTTATAGGCATATTGCCAAGGCAATCTATATGTCATAGGTAGGCGGAGCGCACTAAACTGAACAACTAGGCTCTAGTGACCCGTCGAGTTTGAGCAGAGGCCAATTAGAGGTCAACACGTGGGTAGTAATGAGTGCCTTACATGATATCCGGGGGTGACGGCTCTTTGAGCAATCCTTGACCTTCATCTTGTCACATATAAGGCCGAATGGTGATCAAACATGTGATTACGAAAGTGACTGAGGTGAGAGTTCGAGGTGGGTTGGACCTCCGTCTTTAAAGGTTGTTGTTGTCCTAGAAGTGGTCCAATGGTAACCCCGCACGTGGAGGTTTGCAACTCTTCGCGACTAAGTCTCCTAGCCGAGGTGTTCCTTGGGGTGGTCGGCAATGCCTTCCTAGGCAAGCTAGGTGGGGCAACTCGAGGGTATCTAGCTAAGCGCGAGCAAGGGCAGAACCATGAAATTTTTAATGGGTGGGCTAGCTAAAGTTATTAGCTTAAAATTTAAGGATTAATTTTTTTTTGGTACTTACAATTTCTATAGTCTTTCTAGAAATAAAAGTAAACATTAAATCATATAAACCACGCTAGTTCATAGCTCCATAGACTAATTTTCAGTAAGCTTTAACGTAAACCAAATATGGTTTAACACCATAGTGGCTTTGTACTTGTTTATGTTCCTCTTATCAATAAAATACTATCGCTCTTTATCAAAAATAAAAAAACAAAAACATATTAAATGCAATTGAAAAACACATATGATCAAAATGAAAATATGTTCAATAACATAACTGAAAATGAACCTATTTTAATGTGTATTTTTATTGATGCCCTCCAATTAGATTTGAAAAAAAGAAGAAGATTTTTTTGGGCTTTAATAAGTTAATATATATTGGGCTCATTGGCTGACCCAGAATTATTTTAGCGGAGGTGCAATTTTGAAATGCTAAAAAATCTTTGTGGATTGAACATCTAAGGCTTTTTACCTAAATTGATCTTAGGTCCCTTTATGCATTCATATCATATATGAAAATTTGTTTTGTAAAAATATTGACTAAGTATGAAAAATGGTTTTTCGGAATAATCATTTTCTCAAGATAATTTTTAGCGGCTTTTATTCCTTACACATCAAATAAGAAAACTTGATTTTATGGGATTTTAGTATGAAGTATATATTGACTTAATGAGCCATTATTTTTAGTCTAAATCGTATTTAGCACTAAAAGTGATTTTTCATTTTTTTTGATTTGGTGGGAATTTGATTTTCTAATATTTTTATTTGAATCCAAATGGGGGTACTTCTTTATTTACATTGTAAACTTAAGTAAATAGAGTAATATAAAAATAAATGAAAGTAAAAGGACAAAGACATTTACTTAAATGTTGAAAATAGAAATAAGGTAATATGTACATCTGGAGTGCACCACGACCAACTAAGCAAATGGGCAATTTGAAGCACCTACAATAATTTTTCCGATAAGAAGAGGTATAGCTGCACCTCCTTGCACCTAAATAAGTCTAACACTAACTAGGCTAATATTAAAAACAAGTTAAATATATAGGTTTTATATTTTTTTCTTAAAAAACCACATTGGGCTACAATGGCTGTAGCCCTTAGTATGGTTCTGCCTATGAGCGCGAGGCGTGTGGTTTGATCGGTTGGGCACATGGCTATGCACGGGGTCTAGGTCCACATGTGGCGATGCTAGTGGTTGATTAGGCTAAGCGAGTCATAAAAAGAGGGAGTTCACAAAAATAAAACATTAAAAATTATGCGTGGAGATTTTTCCTCTCTATAAAAGTGGGAGTTTCATAAAAATAAAACACCGGAGTAGAGAGGGAGAGAGAAAATGGATTTTGTCAATCGCTTTCTTTCCTTTCTGTAAAAAAATATTCCTTATTCGGTGCGGACTGTGGTGCAACAAGTTGCAGGGCAAGAAAATAGAAACCCAAATCTTTACCCGAAAAAATAAGCAGTAGAAAGAAAACCCAGAAACAACAAAGAAAATAGAAAACCCCAAAAATAATAAATATTGCAAGAAGAATATATTAAAACATTAATGTAATACACCTTCAAACGTCAAAACCCTCCACTCTTTGATTTTCCGTACATCTCTTTCTTCAGTTTTCAGTACTTCACTTTGCGTAGAGCTCCCTTCAGTCTCATATTTTTGTATATTCACATGTAAAAAGATTCGATTTTTGTAAATTCTCTCAGTCTTTCTCACTTATCCAATCTCTCTGTTTTTCGTTTTCAATATATTATATATTCTATCTGGGTTTTCGATATTTCGTCGAGGGACACCGAAATTGGCGGGAACCAACGGCCAAATTCCGTGATTCTGAGAACTGGGTTTGGGTCAGATTCGGTGCTGGAATTCAGAACTTTGTTAATTTTCAAATTTCAAGAATTGTTTATGGCTAATCCATCTGGGAACCACCAAGAACCGAGCCACGCCTCGTCGTCGTTCAACGGCACCAACCCAAGTAACGGAAACTCTGCGCCGGTGTCGGCACCGGAGAGTTCCGGTGCCGCCATGGCCATGAAACACAACCCGGGTATTTCTATGGATTGGAGCGCAGAGGAGCAGGCAATTCTTGACGACGGGCTCGCCAAGTGAGTATTAAATTTTGGGGTTTTGTTGGACTCTTTGAGGTTCTTGGAGTTTGCATTCAACTGTTTTTGAGAATTTTTAGTTTTCGTTTTGAATTCTAGATGAATCGGAATTAACTTTTTGGGTGCTTTTTTTTTATAAAATTTTAAATTGCTTCATTTTTTTTTTCTTCAGTTCTTTTTAAAAGTAATTTCGGTCCTGAGTACTTTTAATTGTGTCTTCCTTTTTCTTCTATATGTGTGACTTGTTGGAGTTGATAAAAATGCTGCTGTGATTGATAGTGGATGCTACTATCTTGTATAGAACAGGCTTGGTGTCCTTAAAATCTGTTTACAAATATATCTTAGTATCTGGTATGATATGGCATATTAGTATTTCCGTCAATATGTGATATCAAAGGAGGTTTTGGAAGTGCGGAAATTTTATGATTATGTGGAGACAGTTATTGTGGTATTTAATGGAATTTAAAGCCTTAGAAGAGCCTGCAATAAATTATTTGGAGTAAAGTTTCATAGATATAATGCAAATATGACTTAAGTATGTTGTAGGGTGGTGTAACCAGGTTTTAAGTAGCATATAAAGAACTTAAACTGGTAGTTCAATGTTCATGTGATGGTGTGCGAGTTTATGCTAGCATTATATGACGGTATCTTCAGTACAACAACATTTCAAAGAAGAAAGAAAATTGAGCTTGTTAGGCAGCTGTTGAAGCTTTTAATGGTTCCTCATTTTGTTATACATGTCAAATAAGAAATCCTGTTGGAAAGTTTTTAGTTAAGTGGATGAGTTAAGATATTATATGCACATGTTCTGACATATCCATATGTGTAGCTATATTACCCTATCCTATAGTTAGTCATTCGGGCTCTGTCGTTATTTACTTTATTAGAGTGTTGATAATGTGATATGACCAGAGTATGGGAGCTTTGTATGTTCAAATTGGTCTTTGATATGTTGGAATCATGTTGAATTTGAAAATGATCAATTTTGGGTCTCATGTCTTTCTGCATGTCAGTTGAAATATTTGCAGTTAGCAGGGAGGTTTTCTTTGGGATATATAATAGGGTAGTGTTGAAGCTGGCTCTTTTATTGCTAGTATAGCGTGTTTAGTAGGAATTTGGATTTATCAGTATGTAAAATCTAGCTTGATGGAGATCCAAAGCCCATTTATCACCACTATATATATATATATAAGTTATAACTTTTCTGATATGTTTGTTTTTCTTTATGACATATTTGTTGATTCCTTGTTTTCTACTTTTAATATCTTTGGTTGTTATTGGTTTGGTAAGGGTCGTGCACTTGGTGCTTTCAGTGGAAGTTTCTTATTCAAAATAATAAAAAAATCAAAGTCTCTGAGATAATGCATCTCATCACTGACATGAAAACTGTTTAACTTAATTCTTGTTTAATCATGAATTTTCACCCAATCATACATATATGATGTACACTTTGAAGAAATTCTTATATTGGTTTTTATTTTATTTTTCTAACTTGGAGCCAATTTCTTGTGACATTTGGTTAACAAAATTGGCTTAGAAATTGAAGATGGTTCATGGATGGTAGCTTCAGTGTTATATTCATTCCACATTCACCGAATAAAACTTAGATTGGTTAGAAAGAGATTAGGAAAAATTCAAAACCAAAAAAACTTTGAGATTAGGACAAATTCAAGAACCAATAAAACTTTCTAAGCTTCTGCATAGATGATGAATGAAATCTTAGTTAGGTAATGGTATTATTTCACATTCATATGCCAATTGGATTTAGGAAGGGCCCAATATTTAGCAGTGTCTAATTAATCGTAAAGTGAGCATTAAACTTCCCTGCCAACTGATTTAACCAATTTGGGTTTTATGGTTCTTAAAATCTCTCAATGATTCACACAAATTAGATGTTTGGATAACCAAAAGGAAAAAAAAAAAGGTGTATCCCATCGATTTGTTTTCCACAATGTATTTAGGTGATGGTATTGTTTCACATTCATATACCAATTGGATTTTGGAGGGGCCCAATATTTTGCAGTGTTTAAGGTTAGCATTAAACTTCCCTGCCAATTGATGTAACCAATTTGGGTTTTATAGTTCTTAAAATCTCTCAATGATTCAAAAAAATTGGATCTTTGGATAAACAGAAGGAAAAAAGAAAGGCGCTTCACATGGATGTTTGCTTTTTGTTAATGCTTTCCAAATATGTATTGAAAATTTCGATGTTTGTCTATATACCACCATTAATTGAATGAGTGTTGTAATTTATTTCCTTACCCAAGTCTCTGGCGATGTATGTCCATATGTTTAAGATTACAAATCTTCACAGATACGGTACTTAGTACCTTTCTTATCATTAGAACTGATGAATATATATGGTGAAAACCCATATTGATAGCCATGTAAGTTGGTCCAGACCAGGAAAAAAATAAGAAAGATATGTAAGTTGCTGTCTATATGATTGTTGTGTTCACTTTTCAGAAACTTTATTTTGTGCTTTGGAATAAACTTCTCATGTACCCTTCTTCCTTTCTTTCTTCTGATTCCCGTTATTCATGAGTTTATCTAATTATGTTGTCATAATATTTACCTTGCAGATATTCAACAGAATCAAACATAATCCGGTATGCAAAGATAGCTATGCAGCTGCAGAATAAGACTGTCCGAGATGTGGCGTTGCGTTGCAGATGGATGACTGTAAGCTTAATTACTTTTTCTTAATTAGTGCCCAAAATTGGTAGGCTATTCTTGATTAGGATCCATGAAATGAGCCATGATGATGTATGTTTCCTTGGGGATCTTGTACTTCTCTTCCAAGAAAAATGCAAGGCTCAAACCGGTCATTTAAGTTTGTCTTGGAAATATCTTTTTAACTCGATAACCTTGTGTTTTTGTGGATGGCCCTTGGTAATTCTGGTCGCAGTTCATTTTTATGAGCAAGGAAAGTGACATGAGCTACCAAATTGTGACCTGAGCCTGTTTTTGTCAATGCGTCATGATATGCTTTGTTTTCTCCCCAGTCCTAGAAAAGAATTACTTTTGCAATTATTAAATCATATTTTCATAATTATCATTTGCAAGGTCCATAATTATATCTTTTTAACTTTGACATCACATTTTATAATCTAGTGACTGGAACTGTGGAAAATATGTATTATATATGTTGCTAACCACGTGACGTAGTAAATTATTGGAAAACCAAAAGACTGCTGCAATGTTCAGCAGGTAACAGAGAATCTTCCCTATATAGTTGTTGCTCTCAAGCTGTATGCTAGTTGTTGACAGCCTGATGCTCTTATCATTTAACAGAGAATTTTCCCTGTTATACCAGTTGTGGGAAGCATAAATTTTTGTCGCTTGTAGGTGTAAACAAGCTACAAATATTGCAAACACATTAGCATCTTACTTAAGCTAGTACCTGTTTGAAATATTCTTTACCATTTCAAAACTGTATTTTGATTGTTTTCTTGGTTCACTTCCTTTCCAGAAAAAGGAAAACAGCAAGAGAAGGAAGGAAGAACATAACTTAACAAGGAAAAGCAAAGATAAAAAGGTATGTTCTCTACCCTCAGTCTGTTGTACCTTGGGCTAAGGCTCATGGGCATTAAATAAAGGGGCTGGGTTATTTTATTTTATGTATTATTATTTCACTGTCTGTTACAATTTTCTGATTCTATAAAGTTGTATGACATAGTCTAATTTGTCATGCCCCTGTGACAGAACAGAAGTGAAGCTGTTTTTGTCATTTACTTACATTAATTCCCTAAGTCCTTTTTTTTTTTTTTTTTTTTGTTTGTTGTTGAAGTTATGCAATTCACTTGCTAAGTCATAATAAATTTTTTATTTCAGGAGGAGAATAGAAAGGGAGATTAGAGAATAGGTTTAGGGTTCTCTAATCAGCCACTTAACTTTAGCAATGTTTTTGTTCGCGAGGGCTTCTATATTAAGCATTTTATTCAGTAGCACGCTTTTGTTGATACTACATAGAACTGGTAGTCCTTCGTGAAAGATCACCTGTTAGGTACTTTTTTTGAGAACTCATAGTTCTTTAACCCCAGAAAAGGGCTTTTTTTCTGTTTCAACCAAACACTATAAAGAGTGTCTAGGCTTGCGCAAAGCATTTCCAAACATCCAAATCCATGAAATAGATATTTATAATAATAATCCTAGTCTAGAATGAAAATAATAATAATAGTATTCTAACAACTCTGACAAAAAACGAAAATTACGTAATTGTATATTCTATTGTCTGATAGGCCGATATACTTAAGAAAATGTACCAAATATCCAAACTTCTTAATTTCCTTTACGTGCATAGATAGCCAATGGAAGAATGAAAAAGAAATCAGATGCAACAAATTTTGCACCGTCCTAGCAATATCTTGTAGAAAATTTTTAGAAGCTTATGTGACCAAAAATATGTGTTAGAAATCATATTTTGATCTCATTTTAAAGCTGATGATGAAATCTGCTCCTAGGATTCTAGTTCGTAGTTTCCAGTTGCAGCAATTACGCTATTTTGTTTTTCAGTGCCTTAGAAGGCCTGATTGTTGTTGTAACTTGTAAACAAACACTGTAAACTTAGAAATGTAGTATTTTCTCCAGCCGAAGTATCGTATTCCTTTGTGTTCCCACTCCAATAAGCAAAAGTGAGAAGTTTTTCTTATTCTTGTCTTGTTCATGGATTTCCCCCGATTCACTATTTGTTAAACATCATATATTTCATGTTGCACCTTTTCCTCTAATATATGTTTGTTTACCTGCTTCCTGTGTTACAAAACGTTCATGGAATGTCTTTGTATTTGTTTCTCAGGAGAGAGTAATTGACACTTCAGCAAAGCCATCTCACTTTGCTGGCCGGCCCAATGTTGCTCCCTATGCTCCCCCAATGGTTACTATGGACAATGATGATGGCATCTCATACAAAGGTGTGGTTGTATACTTTCTAAACCTATTATGCACAGGTTTAAATATATTTTGATTGAACTTTGGCTTGTTTTTATGTCTTGCGCCTAAGGTAAATTCATTTATTAATACATTATTTACTTGATCTACACACCCATACCCACATATACATATTGTTTTTGGCATTATTTTCTGAATCCCTAACCTTATGAGAAAGAATTATCGCTTAAGGTATTTTGATTATAGTAAAATCTTTATCATGCGGGCCCAAATATGTGCCTCTGATTGTGGTCACTGTGCTGATGTGCCCTTCGCTTATATTTCATAAGAATCTGTGTTTATGAGTTGGAGTAGCTTTTGTATGTAAATTACAGTTTCTCAATGGATCTCTGGCTAATTAAGGCTAAAATGTTGTCAATTATGTCAGGTTAGCCATAAGTAGTCAATTATCTGTTAAGAAGCTTAATTGACATATGTAAACTTTCATGAATCTTGAATTACATAGTCTCAGAGCAAATGCGACATAGGATAGCCACGAAATCCTTGAACTTAGAGCTTTCTTGAAAAATAATGGTGGAGAAATACAATGAGTGTTTGAAAAGAATTCTGGAACTGGTTTCAGATAAACCAAAACAAGCCTGACTCTTAATTCCAGATGCCAAGGCAAGCCTTTATGGGGTCAACTTTATGAAGTTTGTGTGTGTTCCGATTCAATCATTTCCATTCAGATTGAATGCCTTATAACGCTGTTTCCTACCAAACAAAAACATCCTTCCCTGGCCTTGACTTCATTTAGATATTGGACACAAACAACCAGACTGGAAGTATTCACTGTATCTTTTATTTGTTTGGGAGTATTCACTGACTTGGTTAATTTTATTCCAGTGGAAGTTGAATGCATACATCTGGATACTGGAAGTTGAGGTCCCCTCTGGATTTCTTGTTTAGCTACTCAACCTGTATTGTTTTCTTGTAGGGCGTATAGGTATAAAAGAGTTCAAAATGACTTCTGTAGGTCTTTGGTTATTCACTTATTTTATTTATGATTGTGGTAGACTGGAAAGGAGAAAAGATTCATTTATTATTTTGATAATAGCAAGAGCCATTCAACTTAACATGTGTATTTTAGGTCTATTTTTGTGAAGTCTTATATTCGTGGTCTCTCAGTTTCTCTATATCATATTATCAATGACTTAGGTATCATGAATTATGTCATTTCAAATTTCTAAAGTGTATTTGTTTTAATCTTTCAATCAATCATATACTATTAGCCTCTATGGTTTACTTTATAAGCTTTGAAAGTGAATGAACAGTATATAATTTCCACTTATTACCATTGACTGCTGCTGATGTTATGGACTTGGATGGAGGTTGTTTGCCTTGCAATTAAAAAGTTTTGGGTTTCTGATATCTAGAGCTTCCTCTTTGAAGGTACTGTTGTAATGGTTTGTTTAAAAATTGTTTGTTCTGTTTGCAGCCATTGGTGGTATTACAGGAGAGCTTCTGGAGCAAAATGCACAAGCCCTGAATCAAATTTCTGCGAACCTTGCAGCTTTCCAGGTAGAGAGCTGTCATTATGCATTTGTTTCCTGTCATTCTAGCTATTAATTTATCTGAAAGCCAGATGGTATCAGGAAAATCTCAAAGCTAAAAGCTTTGCAATTGTGCATGCTTTTTAAGTGTCAGTGATGAATATTGGCATCCATTTCTTGGTAATCTCTAAATAATAAGCTGCGCAACCCAGTAATTATATTTGTTTATTGCATTAGACATACTCAAGGCATTTGCCTCAAATTTATTTATTTTTCTTTTAGAAACAAGACTTTATTAATAAAAGGAGACTGTACTATACGGAGGACGGTATGTCCTCTAAAGCAAAAATTGAAAACCCAAACCATCAGCCAACTACAACACGTGACAAAATATATCCCTCACAGCAGCAGATCATTAAGAAACAACATCATTACAGTCTTGAAAAGTAGCAGAAATGCGCTCTTCCTAATTTCTGATGACACTCATGGCTAAAGAGATGCTTGTAGTCGAGACATTTGCCTCAGTTTTCTCCTTAACATTGTATTTGAATCTAATAACATAAGATACAACTTTTTATTTCAGATGTTGCAATTGTTTCTAACGGATGGCTCGGTCTTCTGGTTGATGAATCGGAGGATCACTTTATGTTTTTCTGTTTAAAATGCTATCTGACCATATCCGCAATTTTTAATGCAGATAATGCACTTACTTTTTAATGGATATTTACGAACATACTTTACATTCAGCTTCAATTAATGACACTCCACCATAACAAAAAGTTTCCACTATGGGTAGCCATTGTTTGCTTTAAAATCAGTCGGTGTTTCTTTATGTTAATGGTATTTATGAACAACTTATTTATATAAATTTTAAGAAATGACTTGAGCTAAAGAATGATATAATGTCTTGGCAATAGTGCCCTCTCAGATATATTCTTGACACTTTTGTAATTGAAATGAGTTATTTTGTCCATCTGTTTTTTCAGATACAGGAGAACATCAACCTCTTCTGCCAAACTCGAGATAATATCCTCAAAATTATGAATGAGTATGCTATGAACTTTGTTTATATATGTTTTCTGTCATAATAAGTTGAAATTGGGATCAATTGACGCATTTCCTTTTCCTTTGCAATAGCATGGTTTTTTATTATTCTTTTTGTTTCCCTTGTATTCTCTCCATGTCCACACAAATCACATATTTTATATTTATGTATTTTCTGTTGTAAGAACAGAAATTGACAATATGACATGCTTATGTTTGCTGCCACTGTGGTTCTTTCTACTAGCTTAATAAGCCACCTGTTTCCTAAATTAATGAATTCAGAGCTCATTAACAAAAGAGGAGAAGAAATATGAGGATTGTCATGTTTGGCATTCATGACTTTATTTATCTTGTCAATGATGGGCACTTGTCTCCATGGATTTATATCATATTGACCTTTGCCATTATGTATGTAGGCTGTATAAAAATCACCTTGATTATTGAACCTTGGTCTACAAATGCACAAGTTCTCGAAATCACCATGATCAGCTAGTTGGTTTTTTGATCATTTTGAGCCATTTGCATTCACCTTCACAAATTCTCTATAGATTAAAATGATTGCTCCATCTGATCAACATTACTAATGCAGTTTACAATTGGTTCGAGTGTACAATGTGAATTCTTGAATGTTCAGTTTCTAAACTTGTGTCATTGCATTGTTTCCAAGGCTTTCCCAGCGACAATTGCTGACTTATCTGTGTTGCGCAAAAGAGTAGAAAATGCCTCCACTGATCTCATTTTCTGTTAAAAATATGAACATTGATGTGTGCTGACTAATTACATTTACATATAAATTCATCCATTTAATTTCCAAATTTCTCTACAGCTTGAATGACATGCCAGACGTAATGAAGCAGATGCCACCGCTTCCAGTGAAAGTGAATGAGGAGCTAGCAACCCATGTGGGCATCCCACCCCATCAGATGCAATCATGATCTGCCTTCCGTATTTTGGTCTTCGTTTTCAAATGGGCTTCTTCCGATCGGTACTCAAACCAACATCCAGCCTCCCAATGCGGCTGGAATTTCTCAAACCAAATCCTGACCTCCAGACAACAAAATTGGAGTTGACCCACCTTTCTCATCTCAAAAACTGCAGGGGATCTAATTGTTTATGCAGATGTCAGTTTTTCTTTTACCCTTATGTTTTAGTATTTCATGCTTGGTTTAATTTTTTCCTTTGCATAGCTAGGCTAAGGCATGGCTTAGCTGTCCTGTTGAAAGTAGGAAATAAAATTCTCTGTTATTTTTTATATGTATTGGGGAATGAAAGAGTAATCATAATTGCTTGATTTCATGTATTTTTCTTCGTATCCCTTGTCACAAGTGTCGTGCTTTTATCTTCCGGCACAGGCAGCTAATGATTAAGTAAAACATATGGTTGTTGCAGCATTGCTATATCAAATCTATTCTGTAGCTATCCAATTTTACTGTCATCCAGTGTTGCTAATGTGTCCTTACAAAGCTTTAGTACACTAAGAGCGATTTAGGGTGCAGAAATGAGAGAAATAATCAAAATGTTGACTTATTTTATTTCTGGTAGCATATAACCAGAAGACATTTGTATAAATGGGTTACTAACTTACTATTGTAGATAGCACACATCACTAGTAAACAGCTAGTAGTGATAGCTTTTGAGTGAAATCGGTGAATACCAAGAACATAATAAATTGAATAACTAGAAGCGGTTGGGCTCGGCTCCGACCGACGAATTGCCATGTTGAAAGAGCAGAACTTGACAAAATCACTGCTGGGATGAACGTCAATTGGAAATCATACCAGCAACAAGGCATGGCAGAGAAATCTTCAAGTTCTGTATGAAAAATTGCTTGCACTCATACCAAACTTTCAAATGACCCAAAATAGGACGAAGGTATATGTTGCCGATAGAATTTTAGATTGGCGACGATGTGTTCATGCGTCTCCAACCGTGTTGCCAACACTTGGTATATACAAATTCATGGTTTTGAACTCCCACTAAATGTATCCTCAATTGCACCGATAGAAACAACATGAGAAGTTGAATGGGAGGAATATTCAAAAGACCCTAATTACATGTTGGTTAATTCCATGGAAATGATTTCCTGCTTCAGACATAACATTGGAAAATGCCCCATCACAAACTTGTATAAATAAGCTGGTCCATTTTTATGGTAATATTCAAGCTTGACGGAGTTTAAATATTGAATTATAAAGAAAGAATAAAATGACCAATGAGGTGTTAGTTGAATTGTCTCAAGCTTTTGGTGTGCTCTCAGGTGGTTCTGAATTGAAGCCCCTATGGTAACCAGTGGCGGTTCTAGGATTCAAAAGTTGGTTGGGCAAAATTTATATACTAAACTCGATAGTACAAGTGAATTTCATTAATAAACATAAACATATACACCTAGTCAGGGTGGACATAATGCGCCTTATCCTCAAATGCATCTCTATCCATAAATAAAAGTTCAACAAATACAAAAGCTAAAACTAAAACCAAAAGTAAATGCAATGCAATACAAAACAACATTATTTATGTGGAGGATGATATAATCAACAAGAAATTCATCAGTTATGGTGCTTCGAAGTCAATTCTTAATCATTCTCATGCATGAGAAAGCTCGTTCTGTTGTTATTGTAGAAAGATGTAGAGTCAGCACCAACCGAATAAACATTTAGTGAAATGCGTGTAAATGCACGCTATCTAAATGCAGAGGCTCGGAATCCAGCAAAAGAGAGAATGAGAATAATACTTGTTGTTGACAAAAGGAGAGGAGAAAATGTTGTTGCCAGGTTGCCCACCCAAGATAATAGAAGATGTAGCCAATAGAGGGAGAATTTAACCCCAAAAAAAAAAGGGAGAAACTTGCTGCTCTAGGGTAGCAGAGAGAGAGAGAGAGAAGATATGTGACCACCTGGATGGGCAACATATGTGTAGAGTTTGCTTTTAATTTAAAAAAAAAAAAATTTGAGATGGGTTATAACACATGTAGGTATTTTTATTTTTAAAAAAAACTCGAGCTGGGCAAGCACCCAACCTGCCTTGGGCATAGCATAGCCCATGGTACCAGTGTGTTTGAGTTTTCTCAATTTCATTCCTAATTTTAGCAAAAAAACCCAAATAATAAAAATGACGAATTAACAGAAAATACACTAAGAAAATACCGAGCGAACATAAACTACGTACAAAAAAGAAAAAAAAAATTGATGTAACGCTTTGACCTTATCTAGGTCTTTCATTCCATGCAAACTTTTTGCAAGTAATCTTCATCAACCCTCAAACGTCATGAATGAACGACTAGAGCTCGAGCCTAAATCCATCTATCTGGTGATAGACGAGCAGCTCACGAGGTTTCGAGTCGAATATACCAAAAATCAGTCTTGTTTGTACGAGCCGAGTTTTATACAAACTCTAGCTACATCGAGCCAATTTACACCTACATTATACATACATGTTCATGCGTGCGTGCACTTTAACTTTATTGTGACATGCGACCACCCTCCCAAGTGCTATATTCCACAGGTCAAAGCTAAATGGCAGCGGCCGCCGTCGGGGCTATAGAAAGCAATGTGGATGGAGTTATTCACGCGCATCAGGTCTTGGTGGGTTGGTTTGGTGGCTCGAAACTATGAAAGCTCTTTTCTTGCCTGCAAGTTGATAGTGCCATGGTGCCTGCAATATTGAAGGGTCAGATTTGATAGTGCCATGGTGCCACGCGCAACAAGGTCAAGCTGATATGTCCCATCTAGATTGTTTAATTGAGGATTATAAAACGCTATTGGGTAGACTGGAGACCACCTTATTGAGGTATATGGGGAAGACTGGTAATGGGATTTATACTCTGACATATGTTGTATTCTTTTTTATTCTGGATTTTTCCCATGTGGTTTTTTATGAGAAGGTTTTAACGAGGTCACCCAAAACATGCCCAATGTTTTCACTTTCTATAGAAATGAAATCTATCTTTTTTCTATAAAAAAAAAAAGAGGACAAAATTGTAGCAATGGTCCTTTGATTAAGACCAAACTTTACTTTTCGTCCTTCATATTGCTAAATTGTTACAGTGGTACTTTAATTATGCCTCCACTTTCAGAAATCGTCATTTTCGTCATCTCAATAAACTTTTCCGTTAAAAATGATGACTTGGCATGGACTAGTCCTACTTGGCATGGGCAAAAATGTCTTTTCACACAAAAAATTTAAAAAATAAATCTCCTCTCTCTCTCATTTCTTCTTCCCTCCATACCTCCCAAATTTCTTCTTGGGTAATGCTAGGCTTACCACATTTTTCATACCACATTCATACTATCTCTCTAATAGAAGTGGAGTCCACCAATACAATGGGGTCCACCTCTATTAGAGAGGTGGTATGAATATTGTATGAAAAATGTGGTAAGCCTAGCATTTTCCTTTCTTCTTTCCCCATTCTTTCCCCTCCCATTTTTTCTTCTTTCCCCATCCAGGGAAATTTCTTCCCCCTCCCCTTTCTTCTTCCCCACGATGCCCCCCTCCAACACCCCGATTGGTATTCTTTTTTATTCTGGGATTTTTCCCATGTGGTTTTTTCTGAGAATGTTTTAACGAGGTCACCCAAAACATGCCCAATGTTTTCACTTTCTATAGAAATGAAATCTATCTTTTTTCTATAAAAAAAAAAAGGACAAAATTGTAGCAATGGTCCTTTGATTAAGACCAAACTTTACTTTTCGTCATTCATATTGCTAAATTGTTACAGTGGTACTTTAATTATGCCTCCACTTTCAGAAATCGTCATTTTCGTCATCTCAATCAACTTTTCCGTTAAAAATGATGACTTGGCATGGACTAGTCCTACTTGGCATGGGCAAAAATGTCTTTTCACAAAAAAAATTTAAAAAATAAATCTCCTCTCTCTCTCATTTCTTCTTCCCTCCCTACCTCCCAAATTTCTTCTTGGGTAATGCTAGGCTTATCACATTTTTCATACCACATTTATACTATCTCTTTAATAGAAGTGGAGCCCACCAATACAATGGGGTCCACCTCTATTAGAGAGGTGATATGAATGTGGTATGAAAAATGTGGTAAGCCTAGCATTTTCCTTTCTTCTTTCCCCATTCTTCCCCCTCCCATTTTTTCTTCTTTCCCCATCGAGGGAAATTTCTTCCCCCTCCCCTTTCTTCTTCCCCACGATGCCCCCCTCCAACACCCCGATTTCTTCCTAGGGAAATTTCTTCCCCCTCCCATTTCTTCTTCCCACCGATTCCTCCCCCTACCCAACACACAATTCATAAGTAATCAAAGCGTCATTCCCTTTGTTTAAAATTGGTTGTCATTTTCAGACATGGAGCTGGAGGATTAATTGGACCCATTTTCCTCACAAGATTTAATTGACCAACAAAATCAATGGGACTAGGGACAATATTAGTGTTCAAATATTGATATCGGATCTCTCCTCCCCCATGCCCAGATTTGTTCTTACCCCTCCCGCACGATAACACACATCAGACCCCACACCCAGATTTGTTTCCACTCCCCCACACACACATCAGACCCTAAATCCTCCAACAAAACCAAACAACAAAATTTTAAAATAAATATAAAAAAAAGCCTCCGAAATAAAGAAAGCAAAAAAGGAAAGAGAAAAAAAAATTGTCAGTGGTGGCATTTTGTTCAATTCAACACAAGAAAAGACAAATATATCCTCATTTTTAACGGAAAAGTTGACTGAGATTACGGAAAGAACGATTTTTAAAAGTGGAGGCATAATTAAAATACCACCATAACAATTTAGCACTATATAAGATAAAACGTAAAGTTTTGTCTTCATCCAGGACTATTGCTACAATTTAGTCAAAATAAAAAAAACAATTGACCACCCAAAAAACACAAACCTTAAAGTTTTGCCACATAGCCCATTATTTATGAAGGTAACACCGATTAGGAGTAGGCCCATAGGCCATTTATTATTTTTATATACGACAGTCCTAACCCTATCAAGGAAGGATCAACTTCCAAAGTGCATGCACATGTCACATCTTTGCTGCGTAGTGAATGAGGTAACTTGCCCGGCAACGATATGTCAACATCAATGTTCATCCATTTACCACAGTGGAAGAACATCCACAATTGTAGGCAGGCAGCTTCTTTTTCTTTATTTATTGCGTTTTCTTGACTTTCCATTTGTTATATATAAATAAAAGGAAGAAAGAACAGAGAGAGAGAGAGAGAGAGAGAGAGAGAGAGCCATCTTTTAGTTTTTCTTTTCCCTCACCTTTATCTTGTTTTTGGGTTTCCTTTTAAATGAATAAATGAAGTGGCGGTCATGAGCTTTGACCATTT